CCTTATAGTAAAGCAGGACAGTTGGTCACCCTAATCTCCCTACTTCACACTGTTTTTTTGAAATGTTAATACCAGACAGGATGGGTCGACGCTTGGGTGGTGTTTGCACAATATCGACTAATCATTTTTTTCCCCAATGCTCTTTTGTCAAAATGTCTTTTGTTTATTGCAAATATAGTCTTAGATTACGGTTTTTAGTTAGGTAGGAATGGCAAATGACATTTCTGCCAACTCTTTGTAAAATGTATTCACAGATGTACTGATTGTGCTGAGTGGTTAAGCATCTGTTGCTCTCATCTTCTGTCTGCTAGGATGATCGGTCTCCCCTCAGGAATCATCGGGTTCCTCTTAGCCAAGAGACAAGTAGATAAAAACCGACTGAAGCAGCTGAAGGTTCGACAGAGGATGAGAGCGTCCGGTGAGGGGGAACACGAAAGCAGTCGCTACAGCCGCCATGCAGCAGATGTCGGTCTAAACCGATAAGTGTTCACGCAAGGATTTAGCGCCCTCTAGCGGCAGGTGCTGACTGGAGTTGCTCAGAACGACAAATAACAGCAGGTATCAATGTCTGTTTTACACACGTTTTTATTTGTGACTAATCAGGAGATAAGTATTTATATGGGAAAAAAAATATGCCAGTTTTTTATATATGGTTATCAAAACTCAATATCATATTTAGCATAATATGTCCCCTTTTGTAAATTGATTGATACTGGACTTTGACATTAAATGTCCCCTTTAAGATTACAGCACATATTGATTTGGCATGAGGCTGACACTGATACGTGATTTAATTTAATTACATACGCGTTGCAGTTTTGACACCAAAACTACTTATGCTTTGTGTAAACCTCCTGCTGCAACCCTTCAATTTGCAGAAGAAGAAGAAAATCAAAAAAAAAAAAAAAACCAAAATCTGCACAAAAGCAAAGAAAATCAAAAAAAAAAAAAATAATAATAATCATAGAACTATGTAAATACAATATGTAAATAAGAACATAACTTTTTTTTTTACAGATTACAACCGCTATTGTCGTCATACAAGATGTAATCATGTTCAAATTATCAAAGGCACTTCTCTGATAACGATTGTAGAAAACGAAAACATTACTCTAGAAAAGAAATAAATCATATGATTTATTTCTTTTCTAGAACCAGTGCATACAATATATAAATGATCAGAAACTGTTAGACCAGGCATGTAGTAAAGCACGATTGAATACCTATCGCAGATGGCCTGTTAATGTCTATGTTGAAATAATATTCGTTGTTGGCCCCTTATATAATGCATACTGTAGGGACAGAGCAATAATAAAGTGGAACTTCAACAGGTTTCCTACTGGCAAACAAGCAAAACGCTGAAAGCTGAAATGGAGTGCTCTGTTCTGGATTCATCTGTTGGAAGCGCCAATAAGCTGCAGCAGAAAGAGGAAGATCTGAATGATGTCGACGTAGATGGACAAAGCAGCGAACACGTACTCCTCCTCACTGATGGAATGTTTTCTGTTTCCAATTAGGAGCTGGGTATGATACGCCAGGAACTGAGGAGAGACGGAAACATGGATTACAATACATCTTTTTTTTTTTAATGTTAGCATTACAGTATATGCCACACCCTTACCAAAGTGAAGACAATGGCACCCATAGCTGCATACAGCATGTGAAGCCAAGGAATCTGCAACAGCAGCCAGACGTTACAACCGGTAGGAAAAAAACCAGAACGTGGGAAAAAAAAAAACAGCAGGATTTCGTTAGCTTTGACTCACATATTTAAAGGATAGCACGATGACTGTGATGATGCCCGTCACGAACATGACCATCCCCAGGACGCAGAAAAGTCCCTGACACTTGGTGAAGTCCACCTTTTTTTTTTTTTAAAAAAAAACCAACGACAGACATGTGAACAAAGAACACAAACAAAAGGTTTACACAATCGCTCTTAATTTCAATTTCACTCAAGATATTAGGTTTCAACAACTCCGGTTGTACTAACATATCGGTATAAATGTCCTACCTTTGTCTGGAAGCAAAAGATGGTCACAGCAATGCAGACTACCGCAGTGATCCCCACAGCAAGAAACACCGATTTTGTGTCATGGTAACTGGAAAAAAAAAAAAAGTGCAAGACAAAACATTGATTACTAAAAAAAAAAATTCACGTTATATATGAACTGGGTCATGCAATATTATTTTTTTTTATTTACCTGGAAATGGAGCCAGCCATGTAGGACAAAGCCAGAGTCTAAGAAAGAAACAGTGTAGGTTAAACTTGGTGCAAAACGTTCAAATATGTAATACATTTTGAATGTAATTTACAGTGAGGCTGTAAAAAAAAAAAAAACTGGGGCTCTAAAGGACTGAGTAGTTAAAGCAATTTTTTGAATTATGAATAAAGTTGAATTTAAAAAAACAAAAAAAAAACAAAGTATGCATGTGTGTTTTGTCTTACAGTTTCAATGCACGAGTAATGATATTTAATGACTAATAACATGACTCACCATTTCACACACACCACACAATTGTGCTGGGTATTGCTAGTTAATGCAACTTACAAATAAAGACAACAGGATGATGTTGCATGGAAACTTTCTCCTACAAGAAGAAAACAATTAGAAAATACTTTTTTTTTTTACTCTAACTTTTTTTACTTTGTAACTATTCGAAGTTACACTCACCGAGGACCCTGGCAGCAGACCAGCACAAGATGGGTGACTATGTAAACAGCACTTCAAAAAAAAAAAATAAATAAATAAAAAAGATATATAAATATTCAGAATACCAATCACCATAATAAATAATAATAAAGTGTAAAACTTACTATGAAACCCAATAAAGCGCTTGGTTTTGCTTAATAAATACTTTCACAGGTTCCCTGTGATGAGAACAGCAGTGTTAAAACCACAATACTACTTCAATTTGTACATAAACCATAAAGCCATAACAACATTCTTTGGTCAGACAAGTACTCACACAAATGTGAACACGGCGACGAAGCCAGCTGTGACAAGGAGCTGAGCGGCCAAAACCATATACACCTAAAAACACAAAAATAGGAAGAAAAAAAAAAAAAACATTTTAGTAGATGAATTTGTCTAATGAGCAATAAATAAGAATACTAAAATGCTTAAAAAAAAAAAAAAAAAAAAAAGCTAATTCAACTGATGATATGAATATAAATATCATTTTTGACCTGATATTTTGTTTTGGAATATTTGCAAAAATATTGGGGGATAAAGGATAAACGGGAAAGAATATAAAAATATATCGCCCTAAAACATTTCTAACACAGACAATCTTAGACTTTTTTTTTTTTTTTTTTTTAATGTTACACTAGTGCAGCAATTACCTTTCTGATGAAGGCGTGTCGAATCCCGAGATCGCTCCAGTTCCTGCCACTGGCTGCAAACTCATCACCTGTGTCATCAACAGAATCACAATTACTTAGTCATGGGCCTGTTTAGTTGAACACATTGTTGAAATATTCACAGAAATTGAAGAAAGACACACAGAGATCTTCAACATGTGCTGATTCTGGCTATTTATAATTTTTTTTTTTTTAGGTTTTTAAAAAGTCATCTGATGTCACCTAGTGAAAGACTATTTAATTGTTCTGACTGACAATTTCACATAGACCAGGGGTCACCAACCTTTTTTAAACAGAGCGCTACGTCCTTGATACACACTTGCACCTTTTTTTTAAACGAGAGCGCTACGTCCTTGATACACACTTGAACAATGTAATAATAAAAGCTGCTCGATCAGTTCTTACTTCTTACTATGGAAACTTGTTGAAACATTGTTGAAAGTGTAACTGATTCAAAAAGTCTAATCTTGTTGACTAGCTTTACATTTCGAAACATATCCCCAATAGCTTTGATGGTCCATGAGAGCACCCAGACCAACCTGTGGTTCTAGGTCTCTTAATGGCTAACGAGATGGTTTTTTTTTTTCTTGGCAAAAAAATGTTCGATTCTTACCAGAAGTCAGAAATGGCAGAAAATGTTCGATTCTTACCAGAAGTCAGGACACCCGATGGAAGTGTTGGTGGAATAACTGGGGGCATAGGAGGTGGAGCAGGGTACCCTGCCCCTGGATGACCGTAGGGGTAAGGTTGCCCTGAATAGGCTGCAGGCGGGTAGCCCCCGCCTGGTTGACCTGGGAACAACGGTGTGTTTGAATCATTGGGATAGGGAGCAGAAGGCGGTCCGGGTTGAGGAACACCGTAAGCAGGGAATCCGTAGGCAGGGGGTGGTTGGTGAGGCCCACCCTGTGGTGCATACGGAGGGCTGTCATACGCTGGAGGGTAGTCTGACCTGGACATGACTTCTGTGACGACAGAAACAAAAGAAATGCAGTTCAATTCAATAAAAAAAAGAGTATAGCGTCTATACCAGACATGAGCAAACTAAGGCTATCTTTGTATATATACTGTAAAAATATTCTTGTTTTTCTCATCGTTAATATTTAGAATTTCATAGCGTGCAGAATAACGTGCAGAAATAATATCTGGATTCCACTTGACCCAACAAACTTTGTTTGTGATTTTTATGATTACCAAATGTCTTGGTTACTGTTTATCTGTGTGGGAGTGTGACTAGTTTTACAAAGGCACCTTAAACACCATCTAAAGTCCATGCTATCATCACGTTACTGAAGAAAATTCCGCTCGGTTTGCAATGCTAGACTTACAGTATCCATGCATGGCTGTGATATATTTTATTGTTTTTTTTTTTGTTTAACCAGCAATAAATGGTGAATGATCTGCAAATAATTGGTGTTTGTTTCTCTAGGCGGCAGTGACAGGCAGAACAATAAAATACTCTTCGGCTACGTGGAAGCATCTAGCTGCAAAAACAAAACAAAAGAAAACAAAAACAAAGCGATATTAAATATCTTTTGCTTAATTTATGCCCATTGTAATAGGCTTAATTTAAGCCCATTATAGGTTTTATAATTTCCTTAGATCGAGTTACTGACTACAATTTATTACATTTTTTGTCATAATATTGAAAACATGTATAAGGTCTTTAAGTATGCTGTCACATTGTACTTAAACGTGAGCAAATATATTATGGTTTAAATTACCTGGTCCCATTTTTCTAACATTTTCTAAGAAAATGATAGCTGCTATATGA